CAGTTTGATATAGTGTCAAAGAGCCAGCATGGTTTCACTGACGGAAAATCTTGTTTAACAAATCTTCTGACATTCTTTGAGGATGTTACTAAAAGAGTTGATGAAGAAAATACTGTGAATATGGTTTATCTTGATTTTCAGAAAGCCTTTGATAAGGTGAATCACAAAAGACTTGTTACAAAAATTAAATTTGTGGGTGTGGTGGAAATTTTATTAAATTGGATAGAAATTTGGCTGGAGAGTAGAAAGCAAAGAGTAGTAATAAATGGAGCTAGATCTGACTTGATCACAGTTACAAGCAGTGTGCCTCAGGGCTCTGTGCTTGGTCCTCTGCTGTTTGTGATTTGTATTAATGATATTGAGTCTGGGATGACCACAAAAATTTTGAATTTTGCAGATCGCATAAAGATTTTTGGAGTGGTTAACTGTATCAAAGATGCTGCACACTTATAAGGAGATTTAGATCATTTGATGCATTGGGGCAATATGTGACAAACGATGCTTAACTATACAAAATTTAAGGTGATACATATAGATTTTCATAATTCAATTTTACAATTTAAATGGGAATACATTAAATACTATGGTTGAAAAAAAAAGATCTTGGTGTTGTGATTAAAAAATCACTTAAGTCATCTAAATACTGTACTGTAGTTGGCAATAGGATTTTGGGTAGCATCTACAGAAATGTTGCATACAAGAAAAGGGATATTATTGTTTCACTATATAGATCACTTGTAAGACTTTATTTAGAGTACTGTGTACAGTTTTGAGCTTCCTTCCTTAAGAAGCACGTTGAACTGTTGGATAAGGTTCAGAGAAGAGCCACTATGATGATACCTGGGATGGTGGGATTGTCCTATGAGGACAGACTAAAATCTCTGAACTTGTTTTCTCTGGAGAGAAGGGTCAGAGGGGATTTGATTGAGGTGTTTAAGGTTATTAAGGGTATTTATAATATAGATCCCTCAAACGTTTTGTGTGTTTAGCAGTGAAAACAACAGGACAAGGGGTCATGAATTCAAATTTTGGCAGTGTAGAAGTTATCTGCAGTTCAGACAGTATTACTTTTCAAACAGGGTAGTTGGCTTTTGGAATGAGCTGCCTTCAAGGGTAGTGGAGGCAGAAAATTTAGCTGAGTTCAAGAAAAGACTGGATGAATACATGAGTAGTAAGGGGTAGTTATATTTGGGAGCTGGAAGGGACATCCTTGATGGGCTAATAAGCTCCTTTTTGTCCCTTTAAACTTTTATGAATTATTTCATGGGATTAATTAGATTATAACTTAAGTTCTTGTAGCTCTCTTTCACAGCTGAAAAAATAATCAAAAACGAAACAAGGTCTACCAAATAAAGATCTTATATTAATAAACCTCATCCTGAAAATCTCAAGATACTGGATAATTTTTGTTGTTACTATAAGTTATAACTTGTGTAAATGTGTTGTGCAAGTTTCTAATATCAGCAATATACAAAGTGTATCAAAATAAAATAAAATACACACATCTTATCTGTCTTAAATGTAAGCAAGCATTTACTGAAGGATTGCAATAACAATAAAAATAACAACAGTTGATTGGTCATTACAAAATATAATGTGTAGCATAACAACAAGAATGATCACCCAACAGGAAACAGTATACATCTGAGGAACTACAAGTACAACAGGGTACAGCAATTCCTCCAATTAGATAACAAATATTATGATTGCTTATGTAGTTTGCTACACACAATAAGCTTGTCAGTATAACATGCCATCTAGACTTTTTACAAAGTGAACATTAATTAAACAAGTGTGTACACAGAGTAAACAACTTGATTTAACGTATGTATACGCACAAATGCGATCCCTAGCAATGAGATACAAATTAACAATAGAACTTACATTTACTTTAGTCTAATAGTTATGATTTACAATACACAGTTGTCTATATTATGTTTAAACTTTAATAACATTTTGGTTTCAGATTTTTAATTTTAACAATCTATCTGGGGTTTTTGGTAAAAAACTGCAACATATTTTTAATAATTTAGTTATCAAACGGGGAAAAATCACTTTGCACATTTTTTCTTCTCCGAATGAAATGAAATTAAGAATTTATACCTTCAATCCATGTACTACCATTAGACCTACGTCACATGTACAATAGTTGGCCCTAAATTTTTAATTTTCAAATAACTTTGTTTCTTAATACTCGAAACGCCACCTCTCGACAGGGTATAACGTTTTATTTATAAAGCAAGGAAAGATCGAAAATATTACAGCCATAAATAGTTATAAACATCTCATACCTGCTGAGTTTAAAGCGTATTCAACCAAATTGCAAAGCAGTCATTTTATAAATTACATACGACCAAATAGACGACTACCTGCACACCCATGCACTGTTTATTAAAATCCAGGTGTTATCCTACCTATTATCTTCCGCTACTCTAGTCACCAGTACTCTACATAAAACGCTCAAAAATAACGTTTTGGTTGGTTGTTAAGCGTCAGGCTACGCAATAGGCTACCTGTACTGTGCCCACTGCGAGTATCGAAACCTGCTTTTTAGAGTTGTAAGACTGCAGATTACCGCTAAACCACTAAGGGGCCATAAATAACGCAATGATATGAATACGAAACACAAATGTATCAATAAATTAACGGACTTGGCTACCCACGATGCGTGTGCTCGAGGAACAGTTTGCGAAAGCCTAATTTCCAACGCACTTTTAACACGACAGCGGTTTTAACTACTTTTCAGTGTTTAAGATAAGCGGAAATACGATGTTATTTAAATTAATTTCATAGTGTTAATAATTAAGAAGTTGCAATTTTTAATTCGTATGACTTTCCTTAGCCAATTATCTAATTCAAAAAATCGACAATGTTTCTTTAAAAACATTTTTATGGATAATCACTGTTTTGTAAGTTTAGGGAATGTAGAATTATATAATCTAACATTTCAGTGTGGAAAAATCAGGCGCTGCCATTTATCTATAATAATAAAAGGGCGTGTCTCTGTGTATAACCGCCATAACTCCAAGAGGAAAGAATCTAGAAAACTGAAATTTTGGATACATACTAAGTGGACCCCGAGGATGTGCACCTGGGTATTACTACTTATCCATGTGCGTACGCGCGAGCGCATCTTTTTGAGAGGCAAGCTAGCGAAAAATCACATAGAAAAGAAATGTGACCGCCATAGCTCTAAGAGGAAAGAATCTAGAAACCTGAAATTTTGCAGCCATACTAAGTGTACCCTAAGGGTGTGCACCTGGGTATCACTTATCTTATCCACGTGCATGCATGCATGCACACCTTTTTAATGAGACAAACTAGCGAAAAACCACATAGAAGAGAAGTGGTTCCTTATATAACAACCTCTGATATATAGAAAAGTCAGTGCAGTTTGGTAACAATGCGTTACAACAATGGCTTTTATGTCATGTTGCTTAGCAATAAAAGTATATAGGTTATACTTTTATGCTAAAATGGGTTCAGGATACACACACTATCAACCTAATAACCCGAGCAAAGCCGTGTACTTTCGCTAGTATTATATAATTGTATGGCAGAAAATGGTTTGTATGTTTGTTTGCTGTTAACCACAGAGCTGCATAATGGGCTATCTGTATTGTGTGCATCAAGTGTATCGAAATTCGATTTTTTTTATAAGACTCCTGACTTATTACTGATCGAAATACTGGGAGGGGGGGCTAAACCAAAAATTGGTAAGAATCTAGTAGTGTTCCTTCCCCTTCACCATTTTATAGGCTATCCTCCTCTATATACAACTGAAAATATTGATGTTATAAGTACTGGTTTTCTCACCTAGTCACAGTTTTATGCTTTAGGGCATTTAAACGTTCAGGATGAACAAGTTTACCGTCCGGACAAAAGAGACCATCTGACCATTGCATTACATTTTGTTTGTTTTAAGTAATGCTTCTCAAACTATTTTCTTATATATAATATAAGAAATATATCAAAAACTAAGAAAAAATTCACTTTTCTTATTGTGGATAGTAGAAAGATTTCCACTAGAAAACATTAAAAGAACTTAACCAGGTAGATGGCATTAAGTCAAATATAATGAAGATTAGCAGCAATATATGGAGGGGAAAGATTAGGACTGGTCAATACAGCAGAAGCCATGAAATTAAAATCCTAGCAGAGATAGACATTGAACATACTAACGGATGGCTCAGTCAGGAAACTATTTGCATGGGCAGGAGCCGTGTGGAAAAGCTAAAAACATCTACTGTTTGAATAATCAGTGGCAAAAAAGCTGGATGATCCATTTAATGTAAAAGAGGATGTAAAACATCTCAGAACACACTTGTCTCCTTGACTGGTATCGGATAAAATCACGACTGGACAATACTCCTGACAGACTTCCTAAAGCCTATCACAAGACTAGAGACAGGTTTTGTCCAGAAAACATGGAAAAAACCTTTGAGCTTTGAGAGACTTGATGGCTCATCTGATAACAACCTGTATTCCAAGCTACAGCAAACTATCATTGAACAAGAAAGGCTAGTAAAGTGCAGCATTTGGGCAACTTTTAAGATCTCAGAATGATGTCGTTAATGAAATTGCTTGTTACTGAGGGAACAGGAAAAGATTGAACAAAATATCACACTGGTCAACTGGACAAAAGAGGGTGGAATTATGGAGGTGAAATATGCGCGAAAGAATGTGGGAAAGGCAGATGTTACTTAAATCAAATTGAATTGAGCATTATAACTAAACGAACCTTATTGGATGGAGAACACCCTGTGTCAAACTCCTCACTCTTACAATAGTAACAAAAGTAATACTAAGTCTCCTCTTTTTCTTCATTCTACCTTAATCGCATTTAGTTCTGGAGTTAGACATTCGGGTATTAACCAAGCCCCGACAGCAAACCTAAAGGGGATTCGAACTCGCGACTTGCAGATTGAGAGTCGAGCGCCCTAAACACCAGGACTAGTACTAAGTAATAGTCTTAAAAGAATCTGATTTATGGTACCTCATAACAACTTTTAGAGTTTTGAATCTTTGCTATTTGTAAACATACATCGTAAAAAGTATAGTTGTTTGTCAAGTATATATCTTCATAGGAGATATCCCATAACAACTATAGTCGTGTTTCAACTTTGGATCTTCATAAGGGTACAATGTAACAACAATATTTGTTAAAATCATAAATAATATTCAACGTTAAACTGGTACACAGTTAAAAACATTTTATTTAGGCCTATCTATCAGTTTAACGTTGAATATTATTTATGATTTTAACTTTATACACAAGTGTCAAAATACTATAATAACAATATTTGTGTTTCTATTTTGTATATTCATAAGGGTAGATCTATGGAATAGCAATTATAGTTTCATTTGTGATTTTTTTTCACCAAAACTTGTAATTTTGGTGAAGAAAAGAAAGAATTTGTGAATGATGTAGAGGCACAATCTGTTACTTGATTCACTACTCCATCTGCAATAGACAAGTTTCATCGAATTCACGGCTCATCCGATGTTTTTCAGCTTTATATCTTCATAATATACATCATAACAACTGCAGCTGTGTTTTAACTTTGTAATATTACAAGGGCATATAACAAATATTGTGGTTAAACTTGATATAATATTAAGGATATATTATAACAGCTATAATTGTGTTTTAACTGCATATTGTTGTAACAGTTTCTACCATTGGGTGGCTTATTTCCATTATTCGGTAAAGATAATGCAAAGTCTAGTCCACTCATTTGTTGTGAGTTATTTAGTTGTTCTATAACGTTTAAAGGCTATGTTCAATGATAGGCCTAGATTACAAATCAGCCTTATACAGTCTATTGTTAAATTTCCTTTCGTATCTACTGTACAAACTCAAGAAATGTACAGTACTGAATTGACCATTAGACTCACTATCTAACTAACTAACTCACAGATTAATAGCTATCGTTCATATCACATTGTAAAAATTCGGCTCTCGTCTGATCCCCGTAGACACCCAATGTCGGGCCTGTTTAGAACTTGGAAAGGTGACCACTTAGTCTGCGGTTTTACAACGCTAGAAACCGGGTTTCGATACCCGTGGTGGGCAGAGCACAGATTACCCATTATGTAGCTTTGTGCTTAACTTGAAATGAAAAATAAACAAAACCAGCTGATAATTGCACTATTACTTTCTTCTCCGGCATGGCCAGGTGGGTAAGGTGCTTGACTCGCAATCTGAAGGTCGAGGGTTCGAATCCCCGTCCCATCAAACATACTTGCCCTTTCAGCCGTGAGAGCATTATAAAGTGAGGGTCAATCCCACTATTCGTTGGTACAAGAGTAGTGGGTGGTGATGACTAGCTGCCTTCCCTTTAGTCTTTCGCTGCTAAATTAGGGACAGTAGTGCAGATTAAATATCTCACTGTCTGATCAATTCATTATTTCACTGTGTTATTTTTATACAATATATTTTCCCTAAATCACTCGAAAATTCGAGACGTCACGTCAAATCGAAACAGTAGGGTACTTTCTAGGCATCAGTACATCATACTAAACTCGCTCTAGCAAACAATACAAAACGTCTAGATTTAAATTATAAAAACATAACCTACAACTTTGCCTTTGCCCTGAATTTTGAGGTCCCATGAAAAATTCTAATACACGAACAACACAGCAATAAATCTAAAATTCCATAATTAGCAGTAAAGTCATAAATATACATTACAATCACTAGATCTTTAATTAAATGTGTTAAACAAAATACATACTAATTTCTCATTAACATAAGCAAAATTTTCTTTGTTATCTTGTTTACTGTCTCTATATTGTCCATTCACTAAATCTTTTTGGTATTTTTTCCTTGGCTTATGGTACAATGATGGGATGACCTCTAGTCCTTTATTTTCAATTGCTACCTTGCCACTTGGGGAATCTTCTCCAATTATATGGTAGAGAGAATCCACTTGTGACTTTATAATTCACATTCTGGTAGTGGTTTCGACAGAAACCCTAGGTCTTCACCAAGTTGACTTTCCATTGGCAAATTCTCCTCTGATGTTAATCACTAGGCCATTCTCCCGTTTACTGCTTCCAAAGACGATCACAATGGATGAACTTAGTTTGGACCATCTATCATTCTGAATTCTGCTCTGCTGCATTAATTACTCTGTGCATCCAACCTTGTTGT